GCAGCCGCCCCACGCAGGGGCCGCTGGGCCCGCCGACTGCTGCCCTGCCACTGCTCGACGCGCGCGCGGACTCCGCGTAGTCGGGGGTGTCGTGGCACCCGGGCAGCAGCGGCGGCAGGACGCAGTAGGGCGGGCCGTGTGAGAAGCCGACGTGCGTTGCGTCGAAGAGGACAGTGTTGCCGCTCGCGCAGATCTTCGCATGGTACGTGTTGCTCCTCGTTGCACCCTCCAGCACGGGGGCGGCGATGTCCGGGTCGAGGTTGTCTATGGTCTGGATGAGGACCTGGACTGCGATGTCCTTGGTCTCTGTGTTGGGGCTGGTTTTCGTGGAATCGGCGTAGTTGTTCAAAGCGGCCTCGCAAGCGCTGATCTCTCTGCGTCGGGCCATGCGTCGGGCTACTGTACGGGCCGTGCACTGCGACCTGCGGTCTCCATGGTGCGGAGAGTGCTTCTTGATGCTGTCGTGGGCACCTTAGGTGGTGCCACTGATGCAATGGGCCGCCTCGCACTCGGGCAGCCCCTCGTAGCATTGCTCTTGAAATTGATCATCTCGTCGGTCATGCTAACGACGGCAGCGGCAGGGGCGTGCTGGCATGGCCTTGAGGGCGGCGTGGTGCCGGCGCCAAGCCTGGGCGTCGCCACGAGCGGAAGAGCGGACGTGCCCCAATCGCTCGGGCGCAGACGCCGTGCGCCAAAATGGCTATGGATCCTCCTCCTCCTCCTCCTCCTCCTCCTCCCTCCGCCTCCTCCTCCTCTACTCCTCATCCTCCTCATCCTTTTCTCCTTCTTCTCCTCCTCCTCCTCCTCCTCCTCCTCCTCCTCCCCTTCTCCTCCTCCCGGCCTCCTTCTCGTCCTCCTCACTTTTCTCCTCCCCTCCTCCTCCTCCTACCTCCTGCCTCCCCTCCTCCTCCTCCTCTTCTTTCCCTCTCCTCCTCCTCCTCCTCCTCCTCCTCCTCCTCCTCCTCCTCCTCCTCCATTCTCCTCCGCGAGCGCACTGCTTACTGATGGCATGAGTATCGTGCCGGCGCAGCCACGCTCCCCCCAAGGGGCGGTCGCCCCGGCTTGGGGGGGTGGGGGGCAGACCATGGTGCTCTGCAGCGGTGGCGTAGGCGTTGCGGCGCTCGGCTCGGGAGGGGGTGGAGGCTCGACCCCAGAGCCACCAATGAACCCCTAGACGATCCCGCGAACGTCCTATCATAAAAGTCACGAAGGCCTCCCAAACCCTCCCGCCTACCTCCTCCTTCTCTCTCTCTCTCACCCCGTCCTCCTCCCGCTCCTCCCTCAGTGTCGACCTCGACGTCTTCTGGGAAACTGTTCGGCTGAGACTTCATGGCGAGCCCAGCAGCTCCTCCCCCACCCCCCTCTTCAATTCCCCCCTGACTCCTGGTCTGCGTGGCTCGTTGGGCCCCACGGGGGCAGTCTTCATCGTCCTCCTGGGGCCCTGCATCGAGGATATCGTCGGGGTCGAGGGCGCCGTCGACGTCGAAGCTCGCAGGTGATGGGCCCGATCCCGGCTCTCGGCGGCGCGGCTGGGGCTCGCCGCGGGATGCGAAGTTTGCTGCCCCTGGCCCCGGGGCGGGTGCCTCCTCGCACTCCTCGCGCTCCGCGCCCTCCGCCCGGTGGTCCTCCTCGCACTCCTCGGCTGCCTCCTCCTGGTCCTCCTCGCACGCGGCGCCCTCCTCGTCGTCCTCTTGGGACTCGGCGCCTCGGGTGGCCGGCCTGGGGCCAGGCCGCCCGAGCGGCGAAGCCCCCGCAGGGCCCGGGCCCCGCTCGGGGCCCGTGAGCACGGCCAGCAGCGTGCCGCACGCCACGCGAAGGACAGCCGCCCTGCAGGGCAGGGGCCGCTCTGGCTGGAGGGGACCGCTGCCGCGGGGCCGGAGGCCGGCCCCGAGCTCCTCCTCCTCCATTCTCCTCCTCCTCCTCCTCCTCCTCCTCCTCCTCCTCCTCCTCCTCCTCCTCCTCGGGTGCCATGCCGGGCGCCCCCGTCGGCGGCGCGAGGGGCCCGCGGCGCCGGCGGCCACCGCGCGCGCCGCCGGCGCCGCAGCCGCCCCACGCAGGGGCCGCTGGGCCCGCCGACTGCTGCCCTACAACTGCTCGACGCGCGCGCGGACTCCGCGCAGTCGGGGGTGTCGTGGCACCCGGGCAGCAGCGGCGGCAGGACGCAGTAGGGCGGGCCGTGTGAGAAGCCGACGTGCGTTGCGTCGAAGAGGACAGTGTTGCCGCTCGCGCAGATCTTCGCATGGTACGTGTTGCTCCTCGTTGCACCCTCCAGCACGGGGGCGGCAATGTCCTGGTCGAGGTTATCTACGGTCTGGATGAGGACCTGGATTGCGATGTACTTGGTCTCTGTGTTGGGGCTGGTTTTCGTGGAATCGGCGTAGTTGTTCAAAGCGGCCTCGCAAGCGCTGATCTCTCTGCGTCGGGCCATGCGTCGGGCTACTGTACGGGCCGTGCACTGCGACCTGAGGTCTCCATGGTGCGGAGAGTGCTTCTTGATGCTGTCGTGGGCACCTTAGGTGGTGCCACTGATGCAATGGGCCGCCTCGCACTCGGGCAGCCCCTCGTAGCATTGCTCTTGAAATTGACCATCTCGTCGGTCATGCTAATGATGGCAGCGGCAGGGGCGTGCTGGCATGGCCTTGAGGGCGGCGTGGTGCCGGCGCCAAGCCTGGGCGTCGCCACGAGCGGAAGAGCGGACGTGCCCCAATCGCTCGGGCGCAGACGCCGTGCGCCAAAATGGCTATGGATCCTCCTCCTCCTCCTCCTCCTCCTCCTCCTCATCATCCTTCTTCTCTTCTGTCTCCTCCTCCTCCTCCTCCTCCTCCTCCTCCTCCACCTTCTCCTCCCCCCCTCCTTCTCGTCCTCCTCCTTTTCCTCCTCTCCTCCTCCTCCTCCTCCTCCTCTCTCCTCCTCTTCTGTCCCCTCCTCCTCCTCCTCCTCCTCCTCCTCCTCCTCCTCCTCCTCCTCCTCCTCCTCCTCCTCCTCCCCCTCCGCCCCTCCTCCTCCCCCCCCTCCCCAAACTACATACAATTACTCGATATGAATACTACTCTCCCTCTTCCCCTGATGACGGCTGGGGGTGTCCCGACCCCCCCCCCCCGCGTATTGTTTTTACACACAGGTTTTCCCCGGAGTTGGGTTTTCGCTTGCGTTTTTTTTTCAAAATGCTGCTCTCGCTGAGGCGCCGGCCTCATTTTCGGGCCCCGCTCGTTCCGAATCGTGCTCCCGCTGCAGCGCTGGCCTCATTTCCGTGCTTCCGCTCGTTCCGAATCGTGCTCCCGCTGCAGCGCTGGCCTCATTTCCGCGCTTCCGCTCGTTTCGACTCGTGCTCCCGCTGCAGCGCTGGCGTCATTTCCCGTGCCATGCCACGGCGTGCAATGCAATGCTAGGTTGATACTACGCTTTGCGGTGCTCTTCTACGCCATGCCATGCCGTGCTCTACAATGCATCGCGTACCCTTTCGGGATCATTGCCCTGCTCGACATCCGACTGTGCGAGTAGAGAGGGGATCTGCGCCATGGTAAGGGATGGGAGGGAGGGGTAGGATGTCAGATATGACTCGAGCGCACCTAGCTTGCCCTTCTCCCCCTCCTCCTCCCCCTCCTCCTCCTCCGCCTCCCCTCCCTCCTCCTCCTCCCTCCTCCTTCTTCCCTCCCCTCCTCCTCCTCCTCCTCTCCTCCTCCTCCTCCTCCTCCTCCTCCTCCTCCCCCTCCTCCTCCTCCTCCCCCTCCTCCTCCCCCTCCTCCTCCTCCTCCTCCTCCTCCTCCTCCCCCTCCTCCTCCTCCTCCTGGGGGTGGGGGGGGGAGATGGAGGGGGGGGCACGACGTCGCCTGCGTGCAGCTGGTTTCGGCCCGGCCGCCCGGCGCTCTCCTCCCTCGCTACAGACTTGGCTCACGCCTGGACGCCCAGCAGGCCTGTCTGGAGGTCCGAGAGGCCGCTCGGGAGGGCCCACGGGCGTCTCGTGAGGCCCGACAGGCGCGCCCGAAGGCCCAAGAGGCCCGTCGGGAGGGCCCGAGAGGCCAGTCGGGAGGCCCACGCGGGCCCCTCGGGAGGCCCAGGAAGCCTGTCGGGAGACCCGAGGAGGAGGAGGAGGAGGAGGAGGAGGAGGAGGAGGAGGAGGAGGAGGAAGAGGAGGAGGAGGAGGAGGAGGAGGAGGAGGAGGAGGAGGAGGAGGAGGAGGAGGGTTCTCGGTCTCGGGACCGCCTCCTCGAACATCGGGAGGCGCCTCACGAGGGATCTGGCGCGGAGGCCCAGACTGGGGCCGGACAAGTCCCAGATACCTTGGATCGGGAGCTTTGAGAAGGGGGTCAATGCAAACGAGGGGCAGTCAGAGCACCCGATCTTGCAGGATTCCTGCAGAGCTAGAGTCGCATTGACCTGGGCTTGGGTGCGGGAGCCTTCAGGATCCTGCAAAGCCTGACTGACCCGGGTTTGGATTGACCTGGGTCAGTAGATCCACGACTGGAGCCATGAGAAAAACACGACGGAGGTTTCTCGTGAGCTTTGGCCTCGGGACCGTCAACAAAAAAAACGATACCTCTGGGGGTCGAGACCGGTCCCGGGGAATGGGTCGAGACCTCTGGGGCCGACGCGATGAGCAAATCGACGTTCTGGCCGGGGGGGAGAGGGGGGAGGCGAGGGGGGACGAAATCTGCACGCGATCGGTGTCGGCTCCGCCGCCGCAGGCGCCTTCCCTCGGTGTACCGGTGCCTCCCAGCGCCGGCGGGCGCCACCAGGGATCCGGGCAGCGCGGGGGCCCAGGTTCCAGGCCGCCCAGGTGGGGTCGAAGTCGCGCGGGGCTTGGACTGGGAAAGATCGTTCCGGAGCTTTCCCGAGCGCTCTGGAACGACCGCGGCGTCCGATGCATCTTCCAGGGCCGTCGGACCTCCTAGGTCCCTGGTTGGCCCAGGTCCGATCCTGTCCCAGTTCTGGTATGTGGGGTCGGCGAATCGAGCCGCGTCGCCGATGCATCGGCGACGCAGCTTCACATCGATGGCGCCGATATATTGCTATATATTATGCATATCTATATATGTATATATATATATGTGTGTCTGCACACATATATATATATGTAGGTATGTGTGGATATATATATATATATATATATATATATATATATATCAAAACATGAATAAACATGTGTATATATATATATATATATATATACAAGTGGCACGTGTGTGCCCAGGCTCATACAACAAGCTGAAGGGGCGTTTGAAGCAGGAGTGACATGCAACAGCGAAGTCGCACTCGAGCGCAAGTGGGGTTGCCACACCTTGCGATGTGTGTACCAGGGCCCCCCAGGAAGCCTCAGGAGGCCCGACTTGGATACCAGAAGAGGCTCCAGGAGGCCCCAGGATTGTGAGTGTTGTGTGTGTGTGTGTGATGTGTGCTTTGTGTGGTGCGTGTTTTTTGTGTGTTGTCGGTGTTGTGTGTGTATGTTATGTTTGTCTAGCGTGTGATGTGTTGGGCGTGATTTGTGTCTCTGTGTGTGCATGTAGTTCTGAAGCCCCAGGAGGCCCCAGGAGGCCCCAGGCGGCCTCAGCAGGCCCAGGAGAACTCCAGGAGGCTCCGAGGCGGGGTCTGGGGTACCAGAAGGTCCAGAAAGCCCCAGGAGGCCCCAGGAGGTTCCAGGAGGCCCCCAGGAGGCTCCGAGGAGGGGTCTGGGGCTCGATTTTGGGAGGATGTCTCAGGCGAAACCGCCATTCTCTGAGAATCGGGGTCAAAATTATTGAAATTACCATGTGTTTTTGAAGGTTTTATGTTGAAATGTTGAAATTCCCATGTGTTTTTGGACCTCTCCTTCACGATCTGCGTGAGGGGTGCCACCGATTTTCAGAATTTCGAGGATGTCCCGAGCGAAACGGCCAGAAAAATCAAAGACGGACGCACGCACGGACGCATTAATCCCCTCTGAGCTCTACTCCCTCGAGGTGCGTATGAGAATATTTATATATATATATATATATATGTGTGTATGCATGTATCGCCGACGACGCCGATGCATCGGCGATGCGGCGTGATCCCCCGACCCCACACTTGGGCGGCCTCCGCAGGTGCTCTCCAACGAGTGGTTTGCTCGCGCAGACGTGGACGGGTCGAAGGCCCTGGGCTCCGGCGAGCTCGCGGCCCTGATGGAGTCCATCGGGATACCGCTGAGGGAGTCCGAGCAGCAGAGGTTCTTGGAGGCCAACCTCGTCAAAATCAACGTTTGTTTTGCATGAGTTTAGCATTAGCGCTTTGGGCGTCTTCGTAGCGTCCAAGACTGCCCAGGAGGCACCCACGGTCGCCCCAAAACGGCCCAAGAGCCCCCCAGAGGGGCCCCAGAGGCCCCCAAGACGGCCCCAAGAGGGACCCCAGAGGACTTTTGCCGCGCGGCCGATGTCCCGCGGCGGAGTTTCGGCCACGCTCGCAGGACAGCCTGCTGAGTTGGCTTGCTGCACGGCCTTGGCTTCCACTGTGCAGTTGACTTCGCGATGTCATTCCCCTCAGCTTCCCTCCTCCTCCTCCTCCTCCTCCTCCTCCTCCTCCTCCTCCTCCTCCTCCTCCTCCTCCTTCTCTCTTGGCATCGCTCGGACATCTGCGCATTCCTCAGCGAGGACCATCGAAGAGCATTCTGGACCACCGAGCAAAGCAACACGCACGAAACCGAGCCATGCACGGGCAATGGACCGTCCGAGCCATGGAGAGCTTCCCCCAAAACTGTGCTCGACAAAGAAAGCCAAGGTTCTTCGACTTCTTCGCCAAGAACAAGAAGGACGAGATCTCCTACCCCGAGTTCGTCTCCGTCCTGCGCGGGCAGATGCCCCAGTTCGCGGCCTCCCTCGGCTTCATGAACCAGTACACCGGCCACTACCCCACCGCCATGGCGGGGTTCAACCAGCTCCTCCCGCGGTTTGACTCCCAGGATCGGCGGCGGGCGATAAGGGGGAGAAGTGAGAAGGAGAAGGCCTCCTCGGAAGGCGGCGGGGCGTCTCGGAAGGCCTCCGGCCTTCCCAGAGGGTTTCCGTGCTTTCGGGGGGGAAGCTCAGAGAACATCTCGGAAGGCTGGGGGACTTCCGAGCCATCTGAGAAGGCCCGCATCTTCTCATTTCCCCTTTGGGTGCGCCGTCTCCGGGGAAGGCTCAGAGAACTTCTCAGAAGGCCGCTGGACGTCTTTGCGCTCTGCGAAGTCCCGCCCCTTCTCACTTCCCCCCGGGCGCGCCGCCTACAGGAGTCTGACGAGTGGGTCGAGTCCCTGGACGCCGTCATCCAGCACCATGGCCCCCTTCGGACGCGCTTCCTGCTGCACGAGCTGATGGACGAGGCCATCCGCAGGGGCGTGAAGATCTCGCCATCGGTCACGACGCCAATGTGCAACACCATCCCCACGACGGCTGAGCCCGACTACCCTGGCGACCTGAAGATGGAGGGCCGCATCTCGAACTTGGTCCGCTGGAACGCGGCCGTCATGGTCAGCGACGGCAACAAGCGCGCCCCGGGAGTCGGCGGGCACATCGGGACGTTTGCGTCCGTCTGCGACATCTGGGAGGTGGCGATGAACCACATCTACCGAGGCAATCAGGGGCAACGATAGGGGGGGACAGGCGTAGGGAGGGATGCATCGACCCCCGATCGCCCATTGATCGCCGACAGGGGCCCGATAGCCCCAACCTGCCCAGGAAGGTGCGGACTCACTATCAGAGGCCCGTCGCCGATCTATCGGCGATGCATCGCCGATTCCAGGTCGATGCATCCCCCCCTGTGCTGGTCTCCCCCCCTATCGTTGCCCCTCATCAAGCAGTGACGAAGCGTCCTGGCGCGCCTATAGGCCTACCAAACAATGTTATGAGAACCTTTTGTGGTTTCCACGAAGTGTTCTCAGAACACGTCTGGCCGACACCGTCTTGTTCTAACACATCGGGTTTATGTCCTAACACTAGTGTTTTCGCTCGTAGAACATTTCTGGGTTCTCAGAACATGTCGTGGTAGGCCTGTCGAAATGCCGGGACGGTCGGTCCCTGCTCAACCTCAGGCAAGGGTTGAGTCGGGCACGTCCCTCTACAGGAGGAGTGTTCAAAAATAGTCAGACAATAGTCCGGGGACGATTTTTGGCGTATGCTTGACCATTTGGGACTATCTTTAAATTTTTTCGTACAACATCCCCCTGTAGGGGGCCCGACCTAAGGCAAGGGCTACGGCGGTGGCATGGGCGACTCCATCTACATGCAGGGGCACGCGGCCCCCGGCGCCTACGCCCGGGCGTACCTGGAGCAGCGGCTGAGCCTCGAGCGGATCATGAACTTCCGGCAGGAGGTCGGCGGCAAGGGCCTCTCGAGCTACCACCTCCTCCTCCCTCCTCCTCCTCCTCCTCCCTCCTCCTCCCTCCTCCTCCCTCCTGCCCTCCTCCATCTTCCTCCCTCCTCCCTCCTCCTCCCTCCTCCCTCCTTCCTCCTCCTCCTCCTCCTCCTTCCTCCTCCTCCTCCTCCGTCCTCCCTCCCTCTCCTCCTCCTCCTCCTCCTCCTCCTCCTCCTCCCTCCTCCTCCTCGCTCCTCCTCCCTCCTCCCCCCCTCCCCCTCCTCCCTCCTCCTCCTCCTCCTCCTCCTCCTCCTCCTCCTCCTCGTCCTCCTCCTCCTCCTCCTCCTCCTCCTCCTCCTCCTCCTCCTCAGGTCGGCGGCAAGGGCCTCTCGAGCTACCCGCACCCCAGGCTCTGAGGAATCGCCGAGCGCGTTCCACTACTCGCAAAGTGCCTACTCGCAATCGTCCGAAAAAAACACCTGCCTGCTTTGATGTAATGTATCGTAGACCCCCGGCGGGGCATCCAGGCCATTTGCGAGTAGTTACTGTGCCAGTAGTGGAACGCGCTCGTCGAGGGAAGAGAAAAAGCCGGCAGAAGCATTGCCGTGAAGATTCTGGCTGCTGTTCATAGTCGTGTGTCTGCCGGCGATCTGCCCGTCGGGCGTGCCGCGTCTATGTGTTTGCCCCTGCCCTGGGCCCTGCCCTTCCCAGCAGGGCAGGGCCTCGGGGCCCACCTCACGGGCACGGTGAGGTTGCCATTGGGATGCCTAGTGAGCTGTGTTTTTTGTTTGTTGTGGTTGGTTGTTTTTTATTTCTTTTTTTATAAAGGAGAAAATATAGATAAAACAGCCAGAAACAAAACAAACAAACAAAAAAAACAACGCCGAAGCAGAAGTGGCCAGAGCTCCGCGCGGGCTCCTTGGATCTGCCTCGGGCCCCCCCGGGCGGCGCCTTCGGAAGCGCCGCCCCCTGGCGCGCTCCGCGCGCCGAGGTGTGGGGGCTCCGGGGCGCGGCTCCGAGAACTCTGCGCGGAGCTCCGGCAGTTTATCTTCAGGAGGGAAAGAAACACACAGACACAATTAATCCTCGATTCCCCAGAAAATATGGGAAAATATGGGAAGTGGGGGGGAAGACATAAACCCCGAAAATATGGCAAAATATGGGGAATCCTTTTATTTGTGTGTATTTATTTGTGTGTCCCAGGGCCCCTTGATATCTGCTCGCGCGCTGCCGCCGCTCCAGGCTTCGTGAGCCGTCGTCGGATCTTCGAGGCTTTCGCTTGGCATCGCTCGGACGTGTGCATTTTTGCCTCGGTGGGGGCCATCGAGGAGCATCCTTGATCACTTGGCGAAAAAACACGCACGGAACCGAAAGAAGCACAGGGGATGGACGTCCGAGCGATGGCGAGTTCGTCGGCTCTCTGGAGGCTTCGTGAGGTGTCGTCGGGTCTTGGAGCCCTGTCCGCCTCGGGGCGGAAGAGGCTCCAAGGCCCGACGTGTTGTGCTCTCCCTGCAGGCTGATGCCGGACTTCTGGGAGAACCCCACCGTGTCCATGGGGCTGGGGCCGCTCTCGGCCGTGACGCAGGCCCGGCTCTTCCGGTACCTGCACCTGCGCGGCCTGGCCGACACCTCGAACAGCCGCGTCTGGTGCTTCATCGGCGACGGCGAGATGGACGAGCCCGAGTCGATCTACGCCATCGCGAGGGCCGGCTACGAGAGGCTCAACAACCTCATCATGATCGTCAACTGCAACTACCAGCGCCTGGACGGGCCCGTGCGCGGCAACTCCAAGGTGATCCAGGAGTTCGAGGGGGTGTTCCGCGGCGCCGGCTTCGACTGCATCAAGCTGATATGGGGCGACGTGTGGAACGACCTGGTCGACAACGACCACGACGGCAGGCTGATCGAGGTGCTGGAGCGCTGCCCCGACGGCGACTGCCAGCGGTACGCGGCCAAGCAGGACGGCGCCCTGGTGCGCAAGGAGCTCTTCGAGGCGAACGGACTGGCCGACAGGGTGGCGCACCTGTCGGACCAGGAGCTCATCTCCGCCTTCATGCTTCCCGGCGGCCACGACCACAAGAAGATCTATGCGGCCCTCAAGCAGGCCGAGACCAACGCCGAGAGCGGAGGCCGCCCGACGGCGATCCTCGCCAAGACGCTGAAGGGCTTCAGCCTGGCCACCTTCCAGGGCAGGAACACCGTGCACCAGCAGAAGAGCCTCAAGCTGGACGAGATGCTCACCTTCCGGGACGTGCTGGACATCCCGCTGACGGACGAGCAGATCGAGAAGGGCGGCGCCGGGCAGGGCGGCGAGTTCTTCAGGAATCCGGGCCCGGACTCGCCCGAGGTCAAGTACATGGTGGAGAGGCGCCGCGCGCTGGGCGGCTTTCTGCCGACGCGCGTTCCGGCCCAGATCTCCAAGCTCGTCGAGCTCCCGACCGCGGACAACTTCACGATCTTCGACAAGGGAAACCCGAAGCCTGGGAGCACCACCATGGCGTTCGCCACACTCCTCCGGCGGCTCATGAAGGCCGGCGACTTCGGTCAGCGCTGCGTGCCCATGATCACCGACGAGGCGCGCACGTTCGGCCTGAACGCGTTCTTCCACGAGTTCAAGATCCACGCCCCGTTCGGACAACACTACACCCCCGTGGACCACGACATCCTCATGAAGTACAGCGAGGCCCCCGACGGCAGGATCTTGGCACCCTGCTGCTGTGAATTTCGGAGAGGAAGAGGATGAGAAGGAGGAGAAGGAGGAGGAGGAGGAGGAGTAGAGGAGGAGGAGGAGGAGGAGGAGAAGGAGGAGGAGGCCCCCGACGGCAGGATCTTGCAGGAGGGCATCAGCGAGGCGGGCGCACTCTGCACCTGGATCGCGACGGGCACCGCGTACGCCTCCCAGGGCTGCCCGATGATGCCCTTCTTCATATACTACTCCATGTTCGGTTCCCTCTTCGTCCTCCCCCTCCTTGTCCTCCCCCTCCTCGTCCTCTTCCCCTCCTTCCCCTCCTCCTCCCCCTCCTCCTCCTCCTCCTACTACTACTACTCCTCCTCCTCCTCCTTTTCCTCCTCCTCCTCCTCCTCCTCTTCCTCCTCCTCCCCTCTTCGTCCTCTTCCCCTCCCCCTCCCCCTCCTCTCCTCGTCCTCGTCCCCTCCCAGGGGTCCCGATGATGCCCTTCTTCATAGACTCCTCCACCTCCTCGGCCTCTTCCCCTCCTCCTCCTCCTCCTCCTCCTCCTGCTCCTCCTCCTCCTCGGACTCGGGGCTGGTCACATCAGGGTCCTTCCGTGGACCCCGACACCCCCTCCTCCTCCTCCTCCTCCTCCTCCTCCTCCTCCTCCTCCTCCTCCTCCTCCCCCTCCTCCTCCCCCTCCTCCTCCTCCTCCTCCTCCTCCTCCTCCGCCCTCCTCCTCCTCCTCCTCTCCTCCTCCTCCTCCTCCTCCTCCTCCCCTCTTCGTCCCTCCTTACCCCTCCCCCTCCCCCTCCTCTCCTCGTCCTCGTCCCCTCCAAGGGGTCCCGATGATGCCCTTCTTCATAGACTCCTCCCCCTCCTCGTCCTTTTCCTCTCCTCCTCCTCCTCGGGTTCGGGGCTGGTCACATCAGGGTCCTTCCGTGGACCCCGACACCCCCTCCTCCTCCTCCTCCTCCTCCTCCTCCTCCTCCCTCCTCCTCCTCCTCCTCCTCCTCCTCCCTCCTCCTCCTCTCCTCCTCCTCCCTCCTCCTCCTCCTCCTCCTCCATTTCCTCCTCCTCTCTCCTCCTCTCCTCCCCTCCTCCTCCTCCTCCTCTCCTCCTCTCCTCCTCCTCTCCTCCTCCTCCTCCTCCTCTCTCCTCCTCCTCCTCCTCCTCCTTCTCCTCCTCCTCCCCCTGCTCCTCCTCCTCCTCCTCCTCCTCCTCCTCCTCCTCCTCCGCCCGCAGAGACATGCTCCGTGCCAGGTTTCCAGCGCGTGGGCGACCAGATCTGGCAGGCCGCCGACGCGCGCGCCAGGGGCTTCCTGCTGGGCGCGACGGCGGGCCGCACGACCCTGAACGGCGAGGGCCTGCAGCACCAGGACGGCCACTCCCCGCTCATGGCCCCCTCGCGTCCCTACTCTCGGAGAAGAAAAAACACCAACAAGCATAACATTGTGGCGCTCCGCGCGGATTTCTTGGATCCGCGCTGGGCCCCCCTCCCTGGCGCGCGGAGCGCGCCAGGGGCGGCGCTGGCGGCGCCGCTGGAAAGGCACAGCGCGGATCCAAGAAATCCGCGCGGAGCGCCAAGAGGTTATGTTTATGGCGTTTTGTCTTCTGCTGTTATCTTCCTCGGGTCTTCGGGACACGTTGTAGGGCGCGCTGTTTGGTGCCAGCTGCGACCGCTCAAATTGATACGGGGCTCTTCCGATCGCGACGCGGTTCCTGTTTGTCGGGCATGTTGTGTCAGGGCTTCCCGTCGCGTTGCGATTCGTGTTCTCCAGCGTGTTGTGAAGGTGTGAGGCTGGGTCTTGATCGCGCGAGTGGGATCGCCCTCCTGAGGGGCAGCGGAGTTCGAGCTAATTCCCCAAACGGTGCTTGCAGTTAGGATTTGTTTACTTCCTGCTCTAAGGGAACTGGGCCCAGCTGCTGGCGACTCCGTGGTCGCCGTCGTTGCCCCGTCGCCGCCTAGCTTATCCTTTTCTAAACAGAGAATTACGAGCCCCCTGGCCCCAGGATTATCGATCAACCCTGGGGATAATTATGCAATTTGCCAATCTACACACGATTCTGCCCCATAGTTCAGCCTAAGTATGAATCTCCCAGCCAGACCAGGTTCGACACCCCCACCATCCTCGTCAAATCGTACTGTTTACGCACACTCGTTGATACAGTATCATCATGTTGCATTACTTCCTTGTGAACAATGGGACGAAGTGCATACGCGCGCGTCGTCGCGCGCGCATGCCGATATCCGCATTTGGTTTCGGGCGGATTTCAAAGTCGAGCGCCCCGGAAACATATAACAAACACATTGTTTTGCAGCATGAGTTGTCACAAAAGATCTGCGCGTGCACTCTTGAGAGCTCTTGTCCAACGAAAAAGACCATGGATGTCCACCTTTCCGTCAAGTTTGAACCAACTGGCCTTTCGCGCGCGCATGTCAGAGTCATTCGAACGCCCTTGCGCGCGTGCCGAGGGGGGCACGATTCTATTCAAGTAGTACCATGCGGGCCACTCGCGCCCGTCTGTAGCGCGCGTTTGTCGAAATCCTTCCACGACCTTCATCGCCGATGCGTGGGCACCATCTTCGTCCTCGGAGTGATCAACATCGGCGCCGTCATTGGCCTTGCCGTCGTCAGCGTCGTCGACGTCACCAGCACAGGTACTATCCTCATCGTGTCTGCCATTGCCGACGTCGCCATGACATCGCGCCCACCCGAGTCGCCGACTCGCATTGAAGTGCCCACGCGTCAGCGCGGCCTGCTAAACGCGCTGGTGAGTGCCCAGCGGTCAGCGCCACCGCGGCCGCAGCTGGCCGCTCTGCGCGCGAGCCTGTGCGCGCCAGTGCGGCCGCAGCGATGCGCCAGTTCGCGCCAAGCAGTTATTGCAATCGCCGCCGCATGGGTTTTGCAAACCAAGTTGCGGATGGGTGGATGGGATGGCTGCGCGAGCACAGGGGTTGACATCTTCAAATTCGGCGAGGTGGACTGCACCACACAGGTTGCACAACATAGCCTGCACAACCTACATTCTTATTTCTAAAAAGAGAATAGACTCTCCCCCCCCCGGCCCCGGCGTTATCGCCCCCCTTTCGGGTATGTAAATCGCATATGATTATGACCACATGTCCATCCTAAATATGAAACCACACTGTCCCAGGCCAACCGGTATCCCCCCCTGAGGTTCCCTGGTAAAAAACTATGCAGTGACATCGTTTGTTCTAACATAGCACTTTTTCACGAATCCCTTGCAAAAAACGGGACGAAGTGCACACGCGCGCGTCGTCGCGCGCGCATGCCGAAATCCTTCAAAAAAATTCGGTGCCGGAAGGATTTCGCAATCGAGTTTCCAAAAACACATACAAAAACACAGGGTTTCGTAACACTGATTTGCTAAACAAATTACGCGCGAGCTCTTGCGAAATCTTAAGAAAACCATTGGTTTTTCAATATTTTCACACGATGCTACCAAACGGGCGTCGCGCGCGCGCATGTCGAAATCTGTCCAACGCCCTTGCGCGTGTGCCGTCGCGAGAATCCTCTGCAAGAAAAGAAACGAAGTGCAGACGCGCGCGTCGTCGCGCGCGTACGCCGAAATCCTTCAAAACCCATAGGTTTCGGAAGGATTTCAAAATCGCGCGTTCAAAAAACCTACAAAAACACAAGGTCTCGCAACACGGATGTTCAACAAAAGCGTGCGCGCGCGCTCTTGCGGCGTCGTCGTCGTCGTCGCCGTCCTCCCTCCTCCCGCGTCGTCGTCGTCGTCGTCGTCGCCTACGTCGTCCTGTGTCTTTCCTCGTGTTCGTCGTCGTCGTCCTCTTTGGCGTCGTGGTCGTTTCCGTCGTCGTTGTCGCCGTGGTCGTCCTTCCTCCTCCTCCCTCGTCGTCGTCGTCTTCCGTCGTCGGCGTCTCGTCGTCGTCCCTCCTATTTCGTCGCCGTCGTCGTCGTCGTCGGTGTCGTCGTCGTCTCGTCGTCGTCTTCCCTCCTCCCTCGTCGTTGTCGTCGTCGGCGTCGCCGTCCTTCCTCCTTCTTCGTCGTTCGCATCGTCGCCGTCCTCCCTCCTCCCTCGTTGTCGTCGTTGTCGTCGTTGTCGCCGTCGTCGTCCTCCCTCCTCCCTCGACGTCGTCTTCGTTGGCGACGTCGTCGTCGCCTTCGTCGTCGTCGGCGTCGGCGTCGTCGTCTTCGTCGTCGTCGACGTCGGCGTCGTCGTCGTCGCCGCCGTCGTCGTCGTCGTCGTTGTCGTCGGCCGTGTTGCTTCTCCGGCCTTCTTGGGGCGCTCATGAGACGCCCCCGAGGGCTCCAAGACGACCCCGGAGCGATATCTGTGCTCGGTCCCGCATGGGTTTTGCAAACCAAGTTGCGGGTGGGTGGGATGGATGATTGCGCGAGCAGTGGAGTTGACAATTTCAAGTTCGGCAAGTGATTGATTGCACCACGTAGACTGCACCGTCTAGATTACACAACATGGATTGCACCAAATCACCGCGTAGATTGCACCACATATATTGCACAGTAACACTGATTGCACCACACAGATGCACCACATAGATCCACATAGATTGCACTGCAACCTTGGTCCGCAACATTGATTGCGCCACGTGGATGGAACAACACATATTTTCTAAGCACAGAGTGTTTGGGGCCCACGCTGGATCACATATAGAAAAAAGGACGGCCACTCCCTGCTCATGGCCCTCACCAACCCCGCCGTCGTCGGCTGGGACCCCGCTTTCGCCTACGAGCTGTCCTATCGAAGACGCCTGTGGCGAATCACTGCCGCCCCATGCCCTCTGGAAACGCCCATGCGGCCGCACGCTGTGGCCAAAGCTCGGACAAGCTATCGGCTGGTATGTTCCCCGCGCAGCAGTGGAGAACCTTCGGGGAACATTCAGGGAGGATGAGGCATCAGAAGAGGGAGGAGCATGAGGAGGAGGAGGAGGAGGAGGTGGAAGGGGGAGGAGGAGAAGGAGGAGGAGGAGGAGGCGGGGGATGAGGCCTCTTGGAGCTCTTTGTGGCACTGCGGTCGGACCGAGGTCTGAAATCGAGTTCGGTTCGGGGAGGGTACCCTCCAATGTTTTTCAGCTTGGCCAACGGGGGGTCTCATGTACTTCCCGCCATCCCGCCGTCCACGCATGGGTTGTAGGTGAGAGGCCTCTCGGGGCCCTCTTGGTCCGTTCAGGGGCGCTCGTGCTTCCGAAGAAGTCATACGGGGAGCGCTGGGAGACCGTGGGAGGCACGCTGGGAACCCAGGAAACTTTCGAGCATGTGGAGCCGGGGCCCTTGAATATTCAATCCCGATGACCGAGGACTACAAGGAACCCCAGGGTTCTCCAACCCGTGCCTCGCGGCACGGTGGCGGATATCATCTCGGGCAATGACAAGGAGGGCCACCTCTAGGGGGGTTGCACGCTCGTCTTGGAGAAGCGAGGATCGAGGAGGAGAGGGGATCGAGGATCGAGGAGATTCTGAACATTGTCGGGCGTCCTTGGGAGTCCTGCGAGGCTCCAGGGGGCCAGGGAGGTCCCTTCCATGGCGGCCCCCATTAGTGGTGACCCCCCTTGGCATTGCCTGGTGATCGAGCACGGCATCAAGGAGATGTGGGGAGAGGACAAGGACCTGATCTACTACGTCTCCGTGTACAACGAGAACATGCCGATGCCCCCCGCGCCTGAGGACCCCTCGTACAAGGAGGGCCTGCTGAAGGGGATCTACAAGTTCAGGGACGCCGACCCCAGCAAGAAGCACACAATTAGGTTGATCGGCTCTGGCTCCATCATGCAGCAGATTATTGAAGCAGTTGACCTCCTCGCAGAATACGATGTGGGTTGCGAGATCTGGAGCGCCACCAACTTTGGGGAGCTGTACCGCGAGGCAATCGCCGCCGAGCGCCTTGGGAGGCTCCAGCCCGACAAGCCCGCGCCCAGCTGCTGGATCTCCGAGTGCTTCGGCAGCTACACCGGCCTCACGGTGTGTGCCACCGACAACGTTGCCACGTACCCGAGGATGGTGTCGCCGTGGATCGGCGGCGACTATGTGGTGTTGGGCACCGAGGGGTTCGGCCGCTCCGACACCAGGGAGGCTCTCCGCCGCTTCTTCGAGGTCGACAAGGAGAGCGTCACCGTCGCAGCGCTGTCTGCTCTCTCTAGGAGAGGCGAGATGTCGCCAGACGTCGCCACGCAGGCGATGGCGAAGTTCGGCATCACTGTAGAGCGCCCGGACATCACCATGGCCTGACGCGCTCAGAGGTGGTGGCTGAGCCTGCGCGCGTCCTCTGGCGGAGGCTTGCTCAAGCGCCAGCCAGGGGCGGCCGCGCGCGACTGAGCCCCCGACGCAGGCGCGACCGCCTGCTGGAGAGTCGGTCACGGGAGTCCTCATTCGCCGGTGCTCTTGTAGTGCTGCAGGTCTCTCTTGAGCTGGGGGCGCCATGCAGAGCCGCCGCAGCCGGCTCAGCACGCTCGAGGGCCTCCTTTGCCACGAATTCGGTGGTCTGTGCTCTTCTCGAAGTTTAGTACCTCTCCGGCGGGGAGCCCGCGCATGCTGATTCCACTCAGAGGGTCTGCGCAATCCCGCGAACCTCCGGAAGAGGGGAAGCGAACGGAACTCGTCGGGCCGACTCAGAGGCTGCAGTGGCCGTGTGTGTGTGTGGCGTGGGCCCGGGGGTGCGCGCGGGGCTACCTTCAGCAAGTACCGTGCTCAAAACGTCCGTGTTAACACGCTGCGTGCTGACTCGGCACATGTTGGTCCACGTTTTGGCGCACGTGTCGCGCCAGACCCACGTTTTCAGCCTACGTGTTGAGCTCCGCGGCAACACGCTGCGTGCTGCGTGTTGCGTATCGGGGCAGCTAAGGCCGTCGGTCCCCCTGACCCCTCCGCGGTCCATCCGACCCGGCTTTTTGCGAGGCGGATCCGGCCCGCGGCGACCAGAGGCCTCCGAGAGGCCCCGGCGGGGCAAACAAAAACGCCAGGGTAAGCGTTGGCCAGCCTCCGAGAGTGTAAAGGGCGGCCCCTGGGCGTATGTGAGCGTGTTTTCCCTCCCCATGTGAACCTCCCCTCTTTTTGTTGGCTTTGCCCCCTCCTGGCCTTGACGTGAGGCCCCTCCTTCTGCCTCCCCCCCCTTTGTTGATTAAAGCTGTGCGCGGCCCGCTTAGCTTCGACCGGAAGAGGTGCGCTCTCGACCCGCGGATCAAAAAAGTGAACCTCCCCTCCGGGACGAGATACGCCGGCGGGGGGATCGGCTGGCCTCCGAGAGTGAGGGGCGGCCCCCGGGCGTGTGCGAGCGTTTTTTTGTTTATCATCCCCAGGCCAATTCGTAACAGTGCCGTTTTCTATACATGCTCCGCGTGCGGATCATGTTTTAAAAATGCAGGGATCCAGTATCAAAAAACAACGATGACCTCGTGCATACATTTACTCATAAATTAATGATGTATTAAAATCAGATATGTTCAAACATCCTTTGTATTAAAACATGCCCTGCAATTCCCCGGGCCGAACCCCCTCCGTCCCAAGGTAAGGCTGACGATCGTGCCGGGGAGGGGGGTTCTGGACCCCCCCCAAGCATGTTGTGGCGCACGCAGGCGATTGATGCGCCAGTGGCGCGGACGCACCCTGGCGGGTGCACGCCGCGGCCGCCTTTACCGTTATCCTCCCGCCGGAACCTCCCCCGGGCAATGACCGTTACCCAGGAAAGAGGAACAGGAAAGAGGAAGAAACGGTCACGATCCATCGGAGTGGCGCCCTACGCATATTCAAAGGGGACCTCGCACTCCGCGCGCAGCCTTCGGGAGCCACGGTGGGATCGTCTTGCGGCTCCCTTGGGACACCCGTGGGAGCCTGTGAGGCTCATCGGGGTCTGTTGGGGTGCTCTTGGGGGCCGTCGGGTTCCTTGGCAGCCCTCGCGGGCTTCCGACCGAGAGAGTGAGGGCGCTCCCTTCCTTGGCATCGCTCGGACGCGTGCATTTTTCCTTCGGCGAGGACCATCGAGGAGCATCCTTGATCATTTGGCGATAAAGCCACGCACGAAACCAAAAAAAACACAGGGAATGGACGTCCGAGCGATGGCGAGCTTCCCACTCCCCTCGTGGAGCGCGCAAAGATCGCCTCCCGGAGCCCTCTTCGAATTTCCCCCGGGTGCGGCCGGCGGCCCTCGGGGCTCTCTCGGGGTCCTCCTGCGCCCCTCCCTGGCAAGCTCCTGGGGCCCCCCGAACCCCACAGCAGGCGACGAGGCCAGCGGGGAAACGAACGGTGAGACGCATTTGGGGTCCAGCTTGGGGCCTCGTGGGCCACCTTGGAGCCCATTATCTGGGCTACACGGGGCCACCTCCGGGTCTCTCGGGCCTCCGCGGGTGCGCTGACGAGCCCGTCTCTCCTCTGGGCCCCCCCGCCCTTCTCAGTCGGCACTTTGGATTTCCATTGGGGGGGGGGGGACCAGGGGGGAGGGGGGCAGCCAACCGTTTCTAACGCCTTCTCAAGCGGGGGCGCCGATCCCGGCGCGGCGGCGACGCTGGCGCTGCTTGGCTGAAGCGACTCACGTTGCACACCAGAGCTTCTATCGCGGTCTCGGGATAGTTCTGGTTTTAGTCGCTCGACATCGTGTGCCGCTTAACATCACAGGACTTCTGTGTTCAATTGTTTAGGGCGGGCTTGTAAACCCTCCACAAGTCGAGTGGGAGCCTGAATGCGATGCGCTCCGCCCAGCCTGCCCCGCATGACGGGCCAGAGTCGCATGGCGCTTCGGGCGAAGGCGCAGAGCGCTCGCCATGACTGGTACAGTCCCCGCCGGAAGACCAAGCCCCCAACTTGAGTACAAAAAGTCCTCGCGAGGAATGAGCGTACGGGGTCAAGGGTTGGGAAATTGGTTAGAAGCCTCCCCCACGGCGTGCTCGACAAGAAAGAGTAGGTAAGCATCACAACAACATTGGTTCATCCGTGAACAATACCTATTGGCAATATGCACACACACACACCTCCTCAGTGGAAAGCGACATAAGATTCAGCTGGAGAGGCATCCTCCTCATCTTCGTCGTCGTACTCCTCCTCCGCTACTGTCGTCTCCTCGTTCCGTTTCCCTGCAGTGCCACCGTGATTTATTTTTTCGGCGGTACATGTTTCATTCCTGCCGTACCCAGGGGGTCGACCTCCTGAAACTGTTGAGTTTCGCAGGGGGTCGCCCCTTTTGAACCCCCGCCCCCGAGAAAAAGTTCCACCACCGTCCAGCCTCCCACTCAAGAGGCAGAAGCCGAGGCAAGAGGAGCGGGGAAGGGCAGGCGGGAGGGAGGGAGGGCGCGGGAGGTGAGAGGGTGGTCGGAGGAAAGAGGGAAGAGGAGGCGAGAGGGAAGAAGAGAAGGATGGTGGAGGAGGGCGAGGACCAAGGCTCAAGGACCAAGGCTCAAGGATTGAGGCTCAAGGGGGGTCAAGGGGGGCGCCTCCTCAAACAAAGGCCGGCCGGAAGCCCGTCCCGCCGCTCGGGGCGTCTCCCTCCTCCTATCTTCCAGCCATGGCCGCACGGCGACGCAGCAGCGACCCGCAGCCTCCAGGCAGCCGCGCAGCCTCCCCGCAGCGGCCGCGGCCACTGGCCCGGCGCGGCAGACCGCAGACAAAAGAGAGACACTTCGCCGCGCAGCGCCCGGCCCACCGCGGGGCTGCCGGCGGCCGCCGCGCGCGCGGCGCTCCACCAGCCCCCCGTGCTGGGGGGCCGCCGGGTGGGCCTCGCCCAGCAGCTGCCGCATGCGGCAAAACACAGGGCCGCGCCGGCGGGGCAGGCGGTGGCGCGAGCAGCCGCGCAGCGCCGGCGCCCCCATGCGCCGCCCCCCTCCCAGGGGGGGCGCACGTGGCCGCGGGGGGGGGAGATCATTGGGCTCCCCCTGCCCTCGCAGCCCTCTGCCCTCGTCGTCCTCCCTCTGCTGCTCACCCCCTCTCCCTTGCCTCCCCTCTCCGCCGCCGTCGTTTCCTCGCCGTCGCCGACGTCGTCGTCGTCGTTGTCGTCGTCGTCTCCGCCGTCGTAGCCGTCGCCGTCGCCGCAGCAGTCGGTGCCGTCGCCGCCGGCGCCGTTTCCGCCACGGGGGACCGAGAGCGCTGGAGCCGCGGACTGGCCGCCCGCAGAGCGGGTCCCCCCTCCTGGGGGCCCGCCCCTTCCTCGCTGATCCCCCTCCTCGTCGTCCTCCTCCTCCCCCTCCTCCCCCTCCTCCTCCTCCTCTCCTCCTCCTCCTCTCCTCCCCCCTCCTCCTCCTCCTCTCCTCCTCCCTCCTCCTCCTCCTCCTCCTCCTCCTCCTCCTCCTCCTTCGACCGGGATAGGCCAAAGCGGGCGCGCCGCCGCTCCACGTCCCGGCCCCGATCAACCGCGAGGGCCCCTCGAGACCGGCGCCAGCCGTGGGCGCATGGCCGGGCGGGGGGAATGTCGGGGCCCCCCTCCCTCGCGCCGCCAGGGCCCGCCTTTGTCGCCTCTCCCCCTCCTCCTCCTCCTCCTCCTCCTCCTCCTCCTCCTCCTCCTCCTCCTCCTCCTCCTCCTCCTCCCTCCTCCCTCCTCCTCCTCCTCCTCCTCCCCTCCTCCTCCTCCTCCTCCTCCTCCCTCCTCCTCCTCCTCCTCCTCCTCCTCCTCCTCCTCCTCCCCTGCGCCGCTGCTCCCGCTCCCTCCTTGCCCTCCTCCGCCTGGTTCAGCCTCCCTCCCTGCTCT